TAGAATTCTTCACGTTTTTATTTCGACAAACACAGAGTGAAATTGATGATTATCTTATTTTAAATGTTTTTGAAGCTGAGAAGTAATAATAAAAAATAATTCGAATTTAGTTTTTGTACTAAATTAAAGTTTTTATTTTTCACAAATAAAAATTACACTGAAATAATAAATGGGAGAAATTTTGGCGGTAATGGAAAATAACCTAAAACCACAGAAAAGATTTTATATTTCATTTGTAGTTTTAAACCTAATAATTATTAGCAATCTAACTAATCAGATTTAGAGTTTTAAATATAATTGTGATTCAAATTCAAATTATAGACAACAAAACATTAGTTCGTGATAAATTTCTTGCGCAAGTATTGGAAAGGTTAGAGGGCAGTACTTCACCTTGTCCTTGTGAGCAGGCAATTTTAAGACGGTCAGTTTATTTTTTGTTTTTAATACTTAGTTATGAATTTATATTATCTGTACTGTTGCTTACTTCCTGTCAATATTTTTGAAATTTATTCAAAAATAATTCATAAAGAAAGGAAGTAATCAAACTCATAAATGGATTACTTGTGAATTTGATTATTACTGATTATTTGATAAGCAATTTGATTATTGCAATGCTGATAAGAGATATGCAGAAAATATGTTAATTCAAATTAAGTAATAAAAACAAAATTGAAAAATTTTTATGTGTAAAAAATATTAATCAAAGCTATTATTTTAACAGATGCTCACCAAATCTTTGCCAAAATGAAAGGAATTCAACAATATTAGTTCCTTTGCCTGATATTTACAAGTATTGCGAACTTCAAAACAAAACCAATTTTGGTAAATAGTTTCTACTTGTTCAATTTAATTTAATTAAATTTCTAACAATTTCTCATTATTTTTGCTTTAAAATTTAAAAATAAACTGTAAGTAAATTAAAAAAACTTTTGTGGTTGAAAACTTTTAATTTAAAAAATTTCACTACAATAAATTAGAAGTAAAAAATGTCTATATTAATTGTGCTTTAAAAATCTTGCAGAAAATGATCGAGAAACTGATAATATCGATGATAAGAAACTTCCATTTACTGGAAATATTAATGAACTACAAGTAAATATTTTTTAGAAAAAAATTTGAACGAAAACGTTTACTGTAGTTGAACTTTGACCTTCATCAAAATATTTTATCCTAATATTTGTGACATGTTTTTATTCTACTTTTTTTTAGAAGAACTATAAAATATTTTTTGATATGATGTGGGACTAGAAGTAAATGTCAAAAATTTTATACGCTCATTGATACCGATGTCAACGAATACTGTGAATTAATCAAGATTAATGAGATGGATTAATAATTAAAAATTTATATTAAAACTTTAGAAAATTGGAATTAATACTGCAAAAAAATAATTATACCAATTTCTAAGTTACAGTAGTCAATATGTTTTTAAAACTAATATGAATTTTAGAAACTGTGTAGTTCTGACGAAACGATAATTCAAAAAAACATTCAGGATAATACATCGCTAATCTCTGTAGAAAATGATGCTGAAAGTGAAGAACAAAAACAATTCCGAAATTTGAGCTTTGGTCAGTTCTTAGTTTGAAATATGCAAATTTACAGTAGTTTTAGTTTAACTTTAATAAATCTTTTGCACATATTTAAATCAAAATGTCAGCTATAAAATTAGCATATTTTTGATTATAACAAGGCCACTCATGACTTTCAAAGTGTTCAGGCTGCTTTTGGTGTGTAGTAGATGAAAGCTTAAATTTTGTAGAATCAAGAATTAACGATGAGGTCAGTGAAGAGATATCTGCTACTTCAGCCAAAAAAAGCAACAGATTAGGAAGTTTTCGAAGAAAGTGTAAAGCTAAAAGTTTACCGTTTTTGATTTCTAATGGTTCTCTGAGGTAAATACTTTGTTACTATTGTTTTTTGCTAGTAATTCGAAATTACTTTATTATAAATTTATAAATCTTTTCAAAACTTACAACTTAACAATGCTTTAAATGAATAAACTTTTATTAAATATTTTGAAAATTGTTAGTAAGAATAATCTTTTGACTGAATGAAACGTTTAGAAAAGCGTGGAGTCATACCAATAGTACGTCTGCAAAACGTGTAAATAGAAGTCAACGCATAGAAAAACGTGCAACAAAGACGCTTGGAATTGTTGTTGGTATGAAATATATGACTAGTAATTTGAAATTTTAATCTATAAAAATGAAAAATTACTTGCAATATTTTATAAAAGATTAAATATTAGCCAAATAATTCACAGATTTTTTTCAGTTCATTAAAATTAGCTATGAAAATGATTATACTCTTATAAATTTTCCATTTAATCGCTTAATTTATATTTAAATTAAGTTTTTTTAATGCCAAATAATAAGTCAATTAAAAAATTCTGACATCATATAATAATTAGTTCTGAGAAATAATTTGCATAAATTTCTAAAAAAACTTCTGCTTTATTTATTTTGTAAAATGTTAGTAATTAAGTTAAATTTAATCTTATTACTTAATTTTATATTCTTATACTTGAAAAATGAACTTTTTTTCACTTTATTATATATATTCTTCATACAGTGTGTTGTAGTCTTAAAAATGAACTTTTTAATACAATGTGCAAAAATGTAAGCAGTAATAATTGCCTAATTTGTTCGAAAATAAAAGTTTTTTTTAATAATTATTTTTGGATTAAAATAAAAATAATTAAATTAATTAGTACACGCATATTTTATTAGGCGTATTTCTCGCGTGTTGGGTACCGTTTTTTTCTTTATATATTGTAAGTGCGATATGTATTCAATTGGATATAAAAAGTTGTCAAGCTGATTTTTACGCATTTTTCTATACGACTTGGCTTGGATACATTAATTCTTGTGTCAATCCAATTATTTATACTATTTTCAACGTGGAATTTCGACGTGCTTTCAAATGCATTTTACTTTGCAAAGTTCGTTTACTATTCTATTCATATTTAATTTCATTCATTTCATCTTTTTTTCATTTTCAATTTTTATGATCAATTTATATAATTATCATTGAAATTTATTTTATTTTCAGATTTAAATTTTTATTAAAAATTAATATTGCGTAAATTTTAATTTTTGCAGCTTTCGAATCGAAAATACTGAAATTTGTATCAAAAATGCACAAACTGTTCATAATTATTATGGTTTACTCAAAAATTGAAGACTTCCTGAAATAACATGCGTCAGAATATGTGCTAATAATTGTAAAGATTTCGTGCTTCCTCGAACTTTCACTTTTAACCTTATGATTGCATTTTTGCTTCATAATTTAATTAATAAAAGCCAAGTGTTATTATTGTAACAATCAAACTTTTATTAACATAGCAGGGAAAGTAAAATAATAAATACAGATATTTTTACGCATAGTATTTTTTGTATAATCACAGATATTCAAAAGGATTATACTGACAAACAAATATAATATTTTGTTTGTCAGTATAATCCTTTTGAATATCTGTGATTATACAAAAATAATTATACATTGCTAATGTACTGCGCGAGAGCAGATAAAAGAATAAAATGGATTGTTGATCGAATATTCAAAAGTTTTTAAAAAATGCTAGTTTTTTCAGATTTATACGCACATATAATGCTCAAGCTATAATTAACTTACTGTTTACTTTATAATATGCAAATATTTTGTGAAATTTATGGCTTTGTTTTCATTATTTCATGCAGAATTTTAAAAATAAATTTATCAAAATTAAATGTATTCTGAAAAATTTTGCATTTAAATTATTAAATTTTAGATTCAAATTATTGAACTTGAATTATTATTAAAAAATGACTAACTAACTTTTTTCTTATAAAATGAATTTAATTTTAATAAATTAGCACTTACAAAAACAAAAACAAAAAAGTAAATGTAATTGTTGAACAAAATTTCTTGCTTGAAGATAAGGATGGATGGATGGATTCAGGTTCGATCAGTCTCACTGAATATTCTCACAAATATAATTCAAACTATGCCCAAGAAGGCATTTAGAAGATTATGAATTACTGTGATTGCTATTTACTCAATCTGTAAAACTTTTAGTAAAAAATAATAGTTACTTTTTTGCAGTAAAAAAATTTACATTTTCTTCTGTTAATAACAAATTTGACTTAAGCAAATAATAAATCAGTAATCATATGTAAATATTTTTATCAGTGAAAATCACTTACAGTGATTGCTACAAAATTACACTTATTTATTGCTAATCGATAATAATGATTAATTGATATCAATCAAAGAATCAGTAACACATTCAAGGTTTTAAAAATCATTTGAGTTTTAGATTTGTAATCAAATTTTTCAAAAAATATTAAATTTGTAAATTTGTTGAGTAGATTTTACTTTAGATACATATTCATTTCCATTCACCCATACACGGCTTGGTTCATAGTCATGACAAACCACGTGGATATTCAAAGGTGATAAGTGAGGATAGATAGATGTATCTGCGTCAAACTTTATCTCAATACCAGCATTTTTCAGTTCTGTCACAACGACCTGATATTAATCACAATTGATCTATATGCTGAGCCAAATGATTTATTCGTTGTGTTGATTGGGTTGACTTATTTATTAAATGGATTGAGTCATTTATAAATTACGCTTAAAAGTCTTAAGTCACCTTAACAGGAATACCAATTTCTTTGCCGTTGTGCTTTGCATTGAGTAAAAAATTAAATTCGACATTTGCAATATTTTTTGGAATTTTATTTTTCTGAAACATTACATTCCAGTAAAAATTAACCATTATACCAATCACATAAATGTATTGAGCTTTAATAATCATATTTAAATTTAATATCCGTATCAGATCGGATCAAACCCTCAAATTCTAATATTCTGACCTTAACTTCAAATGAATCACAATTGATCTATGTGCTGATTGGTATAGATTTTACTTTAGATACATATGCAAATTTTTCTCGCAACTGCCAATCTTATCAAAAATGCTTCTAAATTCTTTTTATAAAAATTAAATAGTACTAACTGTGCACTCGCAACTACTTTTAGGCTTCGTAGGTTTTTTTGCATTTTCTGTCTTCATATCTGCTCTAATATTATTTGCAGCATCTGTTTCTTTTTTTTGATTTCCAATGATCGCTTGAGGATTCTTTGAATTCGTAAATCATTTTCACTTTTCATTACTAATTGTTGCAAAAACTTTGAAAATTCCCAGCAAATATGCAAATTTTTAAAATCCGTCTTGAATGCATAAATGCTTTGCAATATTTTTTTTAGTGAAAATTAATATAAAATTGAATAATTTTACCTTTTTTGTAACTCATTTACAATATTTATTGATTTGAGATCAATTCATTTTAATATAATTCAGTGAAAAAAAATTATAATGTATTTTTAACTCAAATTAATTTAATACTTACCTTTGACCTATTTGGAACTGAATATTCTTTTGAAAGAATTTCCAGAGACGTTTGTGACGATTTATCTAAATATATTTCACGACGAAAAATTTAAATATATAAAAATGCTTTATTTTGTTTAAGTTTATTTTCAATAGACTTACTAGAAATCTCAGATGAAGTTTCCTGAAGACTCATAGACTCTAAGCTATCACTGGTTTGGGGATTTTCGCTTAATAGTTGGTTTTGTTGTGATAGCTGTGAATAAAGTATATTAATTAAACATTACTCAAAAGATTTTATAACCAACAATTTCAAACAAAATGAGAAACATGAATTTGTTCGTTAGTTTCTAAATAATTAATTATTTTTACGCTTTTTTTTACAATTTAACAATAGCAATTTTAAATAAACGCTTAGTAAATATAATATACGCAACTAAAACTGCAAAAAATAATGTGAAGCAAAATAAAAATTAGTGATAAAATATAATAATTAACCTAGCATTTATCAGAAGTCTTCAAAGCGATTACGAACAAAATCTTTTAATTTTAAAACTTATTTTTTGAAAGTAAAAGTTCACGTAAGTAGCAAAACGTTTGATTATATATTAATTATGACTAAAAAAATTGCTTCAAAAAATACGTTTGAAAAAATTTTGCAAACAAAAAACATAGCAATTCAATAAAATCTTTGATAAAAATATTCATTGAATTCTGAAGTTAAAAATAGTTTCACATAAGAAACTGTTTTTATAATTTTATATTATTCATTTTTTGCTAAAAAAGATAATAATAATAAAAGCTATAATAATATACCTGCTCAGCTTTATTTAACACCATATTCATCATATGGTCAAGCAGATTCAGAGCATCCGGTGAAAACTTCTTTTCAGTGTTATCCATACTAGCCCAATGATGAAGTCTAACAAGAAACGTTTCCTGAATGCATGCAGTTTGAATCTAGCTACATGACTTAATAATACGTGATACTAGGTTCTGAAAGCAGACTCGTATCCACCGACTATTCCTCTCCAAACACCTAACGACAATGGTTGAAATGGTTATAAACAGTAGTATTAATATGCATGCATTTGACTAAAAATTAATATCCTTGTATCATTATGAATTTTCAGATTATCTTGATTGAATTTTAATAATTAAGTAACTGATACTGGTGATATTAGTGATATTTTTTTAAAACAGTTATACTTATTTACATTTTTATGCTAATAAACTTTTGATCTTTGTAAAAAATATTAAGACTACTTTAATATTCGCCCAATTCTACTTTGACGGACTTTCATTCTCAATTTATTCATTACCTCGATCTACTTATTCAGACCAAAGCCATAGATCTACTCGATCAATTGCTAGATCACTTTATTTAACGGGTAAATTGCATCTAATATATTACTTAATTATTATATCATTCAATAATGTACCGTACGCCTTTTAATAGATATAGAAATCAGTTTCAACTCGCCCGATAAGTTTTAATTTGCAAGTTGAGAAATTAAACATGTTGTTTAAAAAAATATTCTCAAATGACTTAATCACTTTCTACAAAGGTACTAGATTTGTCACAGTACTAGAGGTGTCACAGTACTAGAGGTGTCACAGTACTAGAGGTGTCACAGTACTAGGTGTCATAACCAACATTTTGCTGTTTGCAAGTAACATACGTCACACTGATTACGTGACGTTTCTGTTTTTCTCTTATATTCAGGATTTTACAGAGTATGGTCAAGTTTAAAATCAATTATTTGTGACGAACGTGTGATTTTATGATGTAGAAAATGTTGCACACATCATGTCTTTCATTTTCATCTTCATTTATTTACTAGCTTACGTGAAAAGAGAAAGCAAAATTTTCATACTCATATATAACACATAAGGAATAAATTTTATGTTTACGTCTAAATACAGCGTGAAACTGATTTTTGTTAATTTACGTGTGTTGAAACTTTTATTGGAGATAGAAAAGGACAAAGGGCAAATGAACGAAGAGGAATTTGATTACGGAAGTTTGCAAAAGCAAGTGAACAATAAAGGGACTTAGAAGATAGTAAAAGTATAGAAAGTAACGTTGGGAAACTATCTTGTGCTCAACCAAATCTCAACGGGCGTGGGCGAAGTGCTCGTTTCCACGATCTGTAAATGTGATTACGCGTTATTAGCTTTCACAATCTTCAAAAAAGTGTTTTACGTAATTTACAATTACAAAGCAGTAAGTTTTTATTTTTGTACAGATATTAATTGAAGTTTGCATTGACATTTGCATATGAATAAATACTTTATATAAATAAGTTATTTCCCGCTTTTTTGTGATGATTTTGAGTAGTATTTTACGCACTATTTTACTTTAGAAACTTTTTATATGCGAATGAAATTTGCAAGTAGTAAAATAATTTTGCAAGGATTTTAGTAATATTATAGTGTCAAGAACTAAGAGAAAACAATAATCCAAATTAATTAATTAGCATTTGGTAGCTAATTAACGACCTTTGTTATAGATCATTTTTTAACTTCATGACTTTTAACTTTACAAAGTTACTTACTAATTTCTAATAAATGAATAAAGTGATAAATACCTATCTTCGGCAGGAAATAATACAGGGAGTGCGTTGGCATCAGCTGTTTTCATTAAATCGAGATAAGGATGCACTGAAATAAGCGTGAATCAAGAAATCTTGATCATACTTTTGTATAAATTATTTTAAATCATTTACTGAAAACATTTTTACATAAATTACCTCAGATTCTTGCGTTATTAGTCATTTCGGATATTATATAATTAAGTTTTTAGGTTCTTAAGTTTATAAGTTTGTTATTCAAAACCATCTCAGAAATGAATTCGGAAATGAATTATTATAATTAATTTCATTTATGTATTTATACGTAAACGTCCAAAATGCTTAATCAGATTTTTATTTTCAAATAAATATCAAGTGCTGAATGTATATTGCTTTGCTATCAAATTCACTGAAAGTTAACCTACAATAGACTTTAATTGTGAACTTAAAAATAGGAAAGCACCTTAAATATCCACTGACATTGTAAAGCCTTTAAAAGATCAGTTATGAATAAAATTACATTGATTTGTATTCAAGTCAAGTTAAGTAGATTCTGAACAAGATGACTTGACAAACAGAAGCATCCACGATATCAAATGATAGATACAAACCTAATCTAACTAACTTCACGCAGTCATGAGACATAAAAAATATATTTAAATACTTTGAACTTAAATACTTCGATACTAACTTGACATACATTGAATTTTGAGTACATTTTTTTATCAGAATACTTTCTAGGTTAGTTAGTCTCACTGCATACTAACAATTAATAGCGTTAATACTAATTTCTGTTTAATTTTTTACTGCAAAATATTTGAAAAAAATAAAAACTTTGGTGATATTTGAAAGCTTTTAAACTTTTTCTAAAAATATTTTTTCAAAAATTTTAAAATCCTATTGAAATATTTAAAATTCTATCAAAATATTTAAAATTTTAAAATTTTATTAAAATATTTACTTTGCACTAATTCAAATAATAGCAAATTATTAATTTAATCAAATTATAAGTAATTGATAATAAATAATAATGTAAAATGCAAAAAGTAAAAACTTACGCATTACATATGAAAAAGCATTAGGAAGTTGCGCATAGACTGAATAGTGTTGATGCATTGTAATGAAAAGGAAAATGCTGAAGATTAGCATATTCATCGTAAAATAATTGCTTTCAATACCGAATAAAGTATTATCCGACCGTAGGAAGTCTCACTAAGTCACCCAAACTGCAAAAATATAAGCAAAAAATAAACCAGTGAATAATTCAAATAATTTATTATAAATAATTTAAATTTGATTGATTATTCAATCATAAATTAGTCGTAATTATTCATAAAATTAAGTTCTTCTTCTTTTTAATACTTGAAAATTTTTATTAAAAAATTATTAAAGAAAATTATCAAAAATTCACTCAAGTGGAACATAAATGAAGTAGAATAATATTTCATTGAAATAGAATAATTAAATGGATACTTTTTTGAATATTAATCAAATTTTTATTCTTTAGTACTATTTTATTTGTTGCATTTTTTAAAATAAATATTATTAAGTTATTTGATATCAATTTTAAGAGGTTATTATTTGAAAAAAAATTAATGCTTATTTTATTTTTTTTAAATTGGCTTATTTTGACGCTAATTTTTAAAGCTTTTATTGAGAAAAATTAAATCATTCTAAAATAAAGCAGATA